AGTAACTTTTCCCCAATCAAAAAAAAAAAAAAAAAAAAAGCTACTCAAAGGCTACAGACTGCTGTCAGTGCCATCTCACCATCTTTCTCAGGATAGGAAACATTGCAACAACATAGCCAAGAGATGGCATCACTGGAAGTCTGAAATTGTTGCATGACCCTGGCTGTAAACCCCCCTGGGAGGAACACCAGCTAGGGCTTATCTTTGGCGTGCATCAGGTTCTCATTATTTCTCACTTCCAGATCCTCATATTGCATAAATTTCATTAATTATCCCAACCACTTCACGCCACTTTTCCACAAAGATTTAACAGCCACAGGCTGTAGTGAGAGCTCATGTTACGTAGACCGCACAATCTCTGCTAAACCAGTATGCTATGAAGAATGATCATATATAACTACACCTAACCCAGACTTCTTGCAGCTAGAGATAAGCTGATGCTACAAACTCCCAGCCACACATTAATGAATTCACCTCCCTGACTCCCAGGTTAAGAGAACATAATTTAAACAACCTGATGTTTGGTACTTTAGCTTCCTTGAATTCAGCACTCCCCTATTCCCAACTAAAATAAATTAAAATTATTTTTTATGTAGTGCTCTGGGCTCTCCATTCTATTTTGGATTTATTAACAAGTCTTTTTCTATCTGTGTATTTTGATCATGTGCAACTGATGTCCTGGTCATTGGTGTGGCTTTCCAGGTTAACCCAAGCACTTGAGTCAGCCAGAGCTAGGAGACGATATAGAGGATGACTGTGAGACACGTGTTACCTTTATCTGAGCGCTGGGGTGTATAGGAACCATTTAAGATAACCACAAGCAGCAATCTCTGTTCTTTTTGGATCTGACCTGCTCATATGGAGACAGGGAAAGGGACATTCTCCTAAGTAATTACATTTTATGTTTATAAAATGCTTTTTATTGTTACAGAACTATATACAACCACTTCTGCTGTTAAATAGGAAAGATAATGCATCAGAACCTGCTGCAAAATGACATGTATCAGGTCAGGGCTAGAGCCCCAGTTCCCTTTTTGATTGGAGTTGCAATTTTTAAAAATACAAATCAAAAAGAAATAGGTGCATTAGGAAATATGTACATAGGGGTGCTGTCCTTTCCTTTTTGCACATAGTCTTTTCACTGCTCAAGAAATCTAACACAACTACCCTTCAATTAACTCGTTATTTGCCATCCAAATCAACCTTCAGAATAACTGCTGTACGTCCGATGAACTGGATAGAAAAGTGGGTAAAATGTCCCTGGGATAAGGGAATAGCTATTCTTGCTTAGCCCTTGAAAACTGAAAGTCAATTACTCTGCTGAAATTGAGGTCTACTTCCCACATGGCATAAGTCTGCACTGATAGTTCCAAGGAGTCCGAGGTCCTCAGGTACTTTACTCTGCTGACAGAAAGAACATGCAGGTACTACTTTTACTCTGCTCGCCTCTGCTTTATTCTCCTTGCGCTGCAGCACTCCAGCTGTTAAAAATTAAGCTAAAAACTTTTATTTACTTCAAAGAGAAAAGTCAAGTATCAGTATGTTCAGAGATTGCAATGTCTCTGGACATCACAAGAGCATGAACCAGCAAAGAAAATGGAGTGAGGACGTTCGCAGGCAACAAAGATTGTTGCTCTCCTGCAGCTTAACATCTCTTTTCTCTATAACCTTGCTGTGCTTAATTGTCATTGGGAAGCATTTTCCTTTTACTTTCAAGAGAACCTAAACCAAGAGTTTGTTAGGCAGAACCAGGGAAAGCTCCCATTGATCACCCTGCGGCTAGTAAATACGTGGAGACCCAGTCACGAGCACTTTGCGGGGTTAGTTTCCTTATCTCACAGTAGCGGATATCCGACCTTGAATTCCAGCTCTGGTTATAGCCAGATGCTGACACCTCTAGGACAGCCATTTATCACTGGCTGGAGCTGCCAGACCTTATGAGTCCAGGGATTTGCGTATTGCAGAGTCACTGAGAAGTGACGTGTTGGGATTATGCATGTGGACAGATACCCATGGCTGGTTTAGAATGCAAGGGGCAGCATAGCTGAATTTAAGATTTACAGTTGTGGAGCATACCATAAAAATTCCTTTTAAATGGCCAAGATATTTTATTATCACTGTAACATCTATTTAGTCTCACTCTTAATTTATCTTACTTTTACAAGTTCCTACAGAGGTTAGCTGAGCAACATTAGCAGTAGACAAAAAAATAACTTTTTAGCATCCCTGAGAAGTGAAGAATTATAACTATTTCCTTCTGTTAACAACACAAAAATATTAAGGAGCAGATTGTTATCTGACATAAATCATCATTTACCCATTTTCATCTCATGGCTCAGCCCCAGGCAATGAAATATAATCACACAGATGAAATCTGTGGCAGAGCTAGAACCTGAAAAAAATCTAGTCTTCTCTGAATGGTGGGATATGAGCTCATGGTGTTCAACATGCCTTAGGTCTCTGTCTGTGAAACTAGTAATATAAGGTAAGATGGACATCAGCGAGTGACTGCAAATATTCTACTAGATCATCTCAAGGGATATGGCAGTGTAAATTCATTAGCCTTCATGGAGCAACAGGAGCTTAGATGAGGTGAAATCTTGCCTCTCTGAGGGGAAAGGAATGTGGAGAGGAAAAGCAAATTCATTACGAAGACAGTGTAGGATGTGTGTAAATATGCACGGTATCCAGCATATGGGGGTGGGGTATTTCTTCTGACACACAAACATGAAGGAAAGTCTGGAGCTTACAGAGTGCAATTACATTTCTTAAAGCCACTTCTTTAATTTATTTAATTTATGTTTGATGTCTTGGTATAACTCAGTTTATATGAGCAAATAAGCTATAACAGTATAACATAATCATGAAGTAAATGGGCAAAGAGTCTGATGGCCACACCTAACAAATTCTGAAGGGTCAGGGCATGGATTGCTCTCACCTATTCACTGTTAAATTTGTAGCACTACCATGGGTTTGGGTCCAGGCAATTAGCACTCCTCTAAGCAGCGCCTAGGCAGAGTAGAAGAGGTAGCACGGGCCACCAGCCACTTCCAATAAGCAGTATGGGATCCTGTTCAGGTGAGGAAGCTGGGATGTATGGACAGAAGCCATGTCATGGCAACTGATAAACGAGCTACTGAACACTCTGCAGCCTGTCTTATTTACAAGTATAAATGTAGTTAATTCAACTGTGGACACGTGAATTGAGTCCACTGAACCTCCCATCTCAAGTTGATCAGCAGTGGTACCTGATGTCCTATGAACGGGGTTTACAATAAAATTACAGGAGAATGGAAAAATTATTCCCATTCCAAGTAGACAAACTCCCTGGCACATTTGGTAACGAACCTACTCACCAGCATTATCCTGCTGCTTGGTATTTTTGATGTATGCAGAAAATTTGGAGAAGATGTCGATTCCAGCAGTGTTTGATTCCCGGTGCTTAGCAGCCAGCTTGGGGTACCTGAAAATGGAGAAGCAGTGTGGGGAGTAACATCTTGTTACCAGAAACACAGTGATGATTACAAACACAATTTACAAGAAGAAAGAAAAAAGCCCTGTAGGAGGAACTGCAATTAATGCTGTCATTTATCTCGAAGCAACAGGTTGGCAAGTCCCTCTTAATAATACCTGTGTCTGTCAAGGCAGGCATTTGGATAGTTACACAGGGATGGCTTCATGACAAAGGTAATTGCACTGGTGCTTTATCTGACCATGATCCAAGGTACAGCGGCCTTAAATCAGAAGGAAGCATAAATTTCCAGAAAGGTGCAGGGGAGTTTGGCAGTCAGCTCTCTCTATTATGAATGGCAGTCGTGTCTAATTCCCTATGCTGAAAATGTACTCCAGGATGTAATAGCAAGGCATGTTAGTATTACCCAGGTGAAGGAACATAAAATTTTCAGTCTCTGAATTGTTTTTTATAGACATCTGGTGCAAAGGAATATGTCGATTTGAAAGACCAACACAAACTAATGACTCCTACTGATTTCAGTGGTCTTGGACCAGAGTATAGAAAATTTAAATATCTGATCTCTTGCCTTAGGACTCGCCTATAGCTGCTGATTCAGTTGGAGGTAAAATGCTCCATAAGGAACTGAGCCAATTTTCATTGATTCCTAGATTTTAAAGTCCAAAACACAAGCCAACAATTTTTTTCCCATTATCCTTCTATTAAGCCCAAAATGTTTGACTAACTAAGGCATATCTGGTGAATCTAAACCTTTCCTTGGTAGCTTGTTCCAATGGCTAATCATCCATACTGAAAAAATTTGCCTTGTTTCTAATCCAAATTAGTTTGGTTATAACTTCCAGTCATGGGCTCTTGTCATTTCTTGACTGGAATAATGAGCACTTTTCTGCCTCCAGAGCCTCTTGTACTCTGTAATCAGTTCCCCTTCCAACCTTTCTAACACACCATACAGCTCAGAAACCTCCATTTTTTTGCTGTAAAATGCTTTTCCTGGCACAGATATTTTGTGTGGCAATTCTCGGCATCTATTCCAAGTTATTTTTAGCTTTCTAAAATGTGGACACCAGACCCCTACAAAATTTTTCTAGTATTGCTCTCCTTGATTCTGCATACAAGGGCATCCTGAAATGTGTACAGAGAAAACATTCTGCAGTTATTAGTCATACAAGTAACCTTCACACATGGAAGTCATCTCACTGAAGCCAGCAAGTTTCATAAATAAATATTACTCCTGTAAGTAAAGATTGTAGGAGGGAGTGCTTTTTAGGAACTCCTCTTAGGACATCTTTCATTCCTAGGAAATGGACTATTGACTGAAAAAATCCCAAGTTCTTACTTTGGAGGTGCAAGAATCTCTTCCAAGAATTCCTCAATCTTGTTAACATCTGTCTTGACTTCTCCATTAAAAGTCAGGAAAGGTGGGTGGGTCCCAGGAGCCAGATTGTGTAGGTCAGCTGGCTTTCTGCAAAGAGAGAAAAAGTCAGATCAGTGATCTTTATGGCCAGGTAGTTGCACAGATATTTATAGTTCCTACGAAATCGGTTTTCCCTTCTTTTTTTTTTCTTTCTGTAGTTTGTGGTTAGAAGGATTTGAAACTACCCCAAGCACCCTGTTTAATATAAAAACATTCCACAAGTGAATAAAAAAAACTCCAGACCTGAATCCCGACTGTTCTGTTGCGCACCACAGTCTCTCTAGGCTAGATACAAATCCGATTGAACTTGGTGGGGCCTTTCTATAGGGAAAACACTGGATAATATAACTATTTTCAATTAAACTGAACAATTTTTACCTTTTCAGGTCAACAGTGGTGACGTTGAACACAACTCCTTTGAGCCACAGGATCATGAAGAGACGCTGGGAGAATGGGCAGTTCCCAATGCTTTCTCCATCTATACCAGCCTGAGGGATGGAAAAGAGATTTCAGACTCGTTAGTGACTTACCTCCCTCAAGATGGAAAATTGGATGTTGAAAGAAAAATAACCAGTTTAACATAACTGACAGTGCCTGTTATTTAATATAGTTTATCATCAACACAAGAATTTAGTTAGTGCAGGATTCGGCCTTTGTAAGGAGCTTGAGAAAGCAACCTGGTGCCTCTCCTGAGGGCAGCTCTGGGTAAAGGAGATGTGTCCCTTTGCTGATGCCAAGCAACATCCAGGAGACTCTATTTTCTTTCAATTACTCTCATCCCTACAGGACTGCCTGACATGACTTCACGGACATGCTAGAAAACTCAGGACACATTTTCTGCTCTGTTTAAGTCTGTGGACTGCAGCTTATATCAGCCTAAGATCTGCTTCACTGTTTTACTATCCAAAATGTGAACTTTCAGATCTAGATTTAAACCCAAGCACTCCTGACATTCACTCAATCTTGATCATATCCAGTAAAGCAACAGCCTCAGACACAAACAACTAGATCCAGACAGAAATCTCCATCCGAATCCTTCCAAGGTTCAAGGCAGATTTCAGCCACCACATTCAGTCTGTTCCTATCTCTAGTACCTAATGAGTTGTCTACAAACCACTACAAAACAATAAAAAACTGCTAGTGTTAGCATTGAGGAAACAGCCTGGTTTTTCCTCTAAAAATTTATGGTCCTTAGCCATGCAAATTCTGACTTTGAGCCATGGAGGGATACAAATAACGCTAGCTGAGCTGAGCCAAAGCTGTGTCCAAGGACAACATCCCTCTACAATAATTATGCTTGTGGCCAAAGCTTTCAGGACGATAATGGTTTTGATAGATTTCCATTTTAATTTGTGGTACCATTGTGTTTAAAAGATTCTTATAATCCTGGTGAAGCAACCAACCTTCCGTTGTTGACCCACATGGGTTGCATAACTGTATTTTATGCACACAGTGTGTGTCCGAAAACAGCTGATGAAAAAGCTAAGCAAATACATGCCCTTTTCCTTTGCAGAAAATATTATATTACTGTTTGCTCTCATAAATTTTATCTTATTAATATTCAAGCTGTGAGGTAGCATTTCTCTGTCTTAAAGAAGGAATCACTTCTAATTATTGCAGTTCTGTCAAACATTTGCAGCACAACAAGAAATATTTTGAGATGTGTCCAGTTGCTACAAATTCAGGCCTTGCATGCAAAATGTTTAGCTGAAAGATTTTCTGGTAGGTCTCATGAATCTTTCTCATGTCTTGAATGCAGCTTTTGATGATTCTGGGTTTAAAAACAAATTCCAGATCTCCCATACACCAGAATATGGACTGAGTGTGGATTCAAGGCTTGGAGACAACCCATCGTAAAGTTTAGGACTATGTAAAGAGTTTTTCTCTGGGTTCAGATTCTGTTTCAAACAACAACTCTAGAAGTATTTGGATATGGAAGTACAGTTTGGCTGCACTTTTACCTGAAATTATGGATCTGCAATATGCCTGGCACACGGCATATGCAAGAACCAGCAAACAATGTGGGTGAAAGAGTGGTATGGCATGAGGATGAGCAAGAGAAGAGGGATTTTCCCATCTGCCTGAGGTGTGAATAGCGTAGTTTGGGAAAATTTTGTTAAATAGTTAGCTCTGTTCTGCAAATTTCATGGCAAAAAAATTACAATCTTACCATGGGAATACCAGGAACCACTGTGTGCATGCAATAATTACTGCAAAGTCACATTTGTTGTTTTGGCTTTGGCTTGCTAAACCATTGCCAAGAACTTTTAACTTCTTACTCTTCCTGAAAAGAGGCAAATGCTATAGGAGAAAACAGCAACAAGACACCAAATTTCCCCTTGGCTTTTTCACCATCTCAATCAGATTCATATCCTTCATAATGGAATTGGCTAACTGAGTCTACAAACAAGATATTACAGGCCTAAAATTTGAAGAAAAACAGATCAACGACTGAATTAGAGGGCAAAAGAGTGCAGGCAGAAGGGTTGATTCTCATCTTACCTTCTCTGGATTTACTTTGGCTTATAACTCCATTGAGTCTGATTCACTCTTCACCTGACTCCCTTCAAAGTGAGTGTAAAACCCTGGTTTGCCAAGTCCTGCAAATACCTTGCGAGCAAAGGGGGTCTCATCTCACAATAACATGCAACGCTCCAGACCTCCTGCAAGTCTCCATCCTGCATGGAGGCAATCTCCCGCCTGTCCTCATCACCAACTTCTTGTGCTGCAAGTAACAATTTCAGGGACGAGACTCAGGGAGACCATTTCCTTGCTCTCTCCAATTATATATTCTCATGCAAAGGCTAAGGATTACTCAGATCTGCATCTTTTTACACGTTCTCCATCCAGCAAGGCAATGGTGAAAAACCGTCTGAAGACCAGAGAAGATTACTGGGGGAACAAAGCAGATGAATGGCAATGAAGACACAGAAGTGATGGGTCGTGTGAGGTTAAGGGATGCAGAAGTCATTGGGGAAAGGAGAAAGATGCAGAGTCTGGAAGAAATAAGATTCACTTAGGCATCAAAAATAAAATTAATTGTGGAGGTCGAATGAGGCCTCCAACAGCCCCAAATAGTCAAAATATCTTCCTGACACTTCCAAAAGAGTGGGAAACTTTAATTGCTAGAGACACATTGGGAATAGACAGAGGAAATTCCAGAAACGAAAGATAAACTAAAGAAAAAGCACGGTATGATCTCTGTTCAAAGCTCCTGGATCTGGAAGCCAGGCTCATGATTTGGGTGGAGTCTGACTCATGGGTTTTGATCTCATGTGACTGGCATAACTGAAAACGCTACCACAAATCACAAGGCAAACTGGTGACAGAGGAGGGAACAGAATCAAAATCTCCCCAGCAACACAATTTACCCATTAAATTCAGCTCTTTTTCTGCAGAAATTATAGACAAGGCTCTGTTGGCTTTGTGGATCCTTTCTCATTGCTTCTAACAGCAGTCAGTAATTCAATGTTCAGCACTCAAAAAGAGCAAAACCTTAGAAGGTAATAACTTCAAAGGCTTAAGAGAGTGTCTCGAGATCCCTTGTGAAGTCTATTAACTACCAGGAGGAGACGAGGAAGAACAGAGAACTTCCCAGGCTTAGTCACTCTTCGCTTCAAAGAAAAACAGCTTGCTTAAAGCACCCTGGTAGTGCCTAAATACAAGCCTATTATGCATCTGTCCAAGGTTAAGGGCTCAGAAACGTAGGAATTAAATAATACCTTCATCAAGATCAAGAACTCAAACAGTGGATGGAAAGAAAAGAACAAATAATTGGCAAGCTGGAGAAACACCATTTATCCCTGCTGTTGTTCACAAATGAGCACAAAAGCTTTCTGACATAGCTTCCCTGAAGCACAGCAAAAGTGATCAACCACTTACAAAAAGGAGCAATATGATGATATATGCGCTCTCCCTGCCAGTAACACCGGATATTTAATGATTTAATGATTGCAACTAGGGATAGACTTGAGGCTTTGTGGGCACTAGGATCAAGGAAACAGAGCTTTTAAAGTCCGCTACAATTCCCAAAGCTGTGAAAGTGTTTCAGAGCCACCTTCCCTCTGCAGATGAGCTCCCTATGGAGAAGAACCTCATCTGAAAAGGCAAATTCCCAGCGTGAATGTGTAAAACACATGTGAGGATTTGCTGGGTGAGACTCTGGCCAATGCTCATCCCACTAAACTTTAGCTGAGATGCATAAGGGAAAGTCTCCTGTGCGGGCAAGGTGGGGATGCACATCCAAAAGATGAATCTGGCCACTTTCCACTTTGACTGAATCCGATGAGTGAGTCTGAATTTAGGTGGGATGAATTTGGACCCCACCAGTAATAGATAAGCCTGAAATCTGTGGAGGCCTACTTGCAAATAATTTTGCTCCATCTTGGAAACATCACTTTCTGCTCCTGCTATTTCACAGAAACTTACTCTTATTAGTTTAGCTACTACTACTTCAGCTTTTCTACTTAACCTCCAGCCATTTAGGTACTTCACAGTAATTGAAGCAAGGTCCTGCCCTGGAACTTGGTATAATCATATCAGGAAAACCCCACCGTCACACCAGCTGTTTGCCTCTATCTGAGTAATGGCAAGAATGAACAAGATGTGCTCCTTCATTATTTATAAAGCACTCCTCCTTAAATACTTCAGCTATTTTTAAGGAATTAATTAAATCTGAAAGATATTTGTGTGCCCAAGCGGGGGTTGTATGCCACATTACCAAGGAAAAAAATTAAGAGAGTTTCGGGAGGGGAGGAAAAAAAAAAGTCTCAGTGATTTTATGAGCTTGTGCCAAATATTTTTGTAAAGTAACGGTAATATCAAGAGCCTCCAACCACTGCACAGCACAGCGGAACGACATGGACAAGGAGCTCTTCTCAAGTTCAAGCTACTACTTTGCTATAAATGAAATAACTGGAATAAACTTCCTTACTTGTTCCAAAAATACTCCAACTGCTACATGCACAGTGACTGCAATGCACACAGACAACCGTATATTATTTTAACTAACCTTAAGACGGGGGAGGGAGCAAGTTTCATTTCCAGTTATTCCCAAAATATAGCAGCTTTAAAGAAATATACCATCATTAATAATGACTAAGCATCTAGCTTAAAAATGGCAGCACTGGAAAGCAGGCTGGAAAGCACTCTGTTTTTTCCAGGGAAAGAATATATTTGGTTTTATCTGTTCTCCTTCTCTGTCCATTTTTCATTGCATTGAGGCCATGCACGGACACAACGGTCCAGTGCTCTTAGACTGGGGTAAAGTAGGCAGATATTTTTGATGACACTAAAACACATTTATTTTTCAAAAGGATTTTAAGAAGTTAACAAAAGCAAGCAGGCTAATTTACCTCAACATTTCCCAGTAAGGATTAAGGAGGGATTTGATTTCATCATCCCTACAATCAAAATCAGGACTCACATTACACATGGTTACACCCTCTCTGTTTTAAAATTGGGAAAGCGCCTGCCTTTTGACACTTAC